TGTATCTTACACTACTACATAAAATTCAAACATACTGGAGTTTTCTAACCCGTGTGTATACTATGTGGGTACAAGAAAGCTTTTGACGCATCATCGGCATGACCAGGTAATTGTTTTCAAAACATGCAAACTCAGATTATCAGAAAGCACAGGCAGCTGTCCTGTCAATCAAATCAGAAGCTATTGTTTTTTTTTAATGATTGACAGGCGGTAAATTATTGAATCAGGTAGATTAACAATTTATGTTTTCCTCACTTTACAAATTAGCCGATTATTAAGCTACAACCAATAATTAGTTTTTGATTAAAAAAAAAACACTTCCATTTTCTCATCAAGTTAAGTGACAGTCTTTTATCAACAAAATTAGATCTGAAATTTTAGATATTACGCTCTGTAAAAACCTCTCTATCCTAGTCTTTTACATAACAAATAACGTCCCTTATAATTAATGGTTAATTAATTATTGTTGACCTGATAATTGCCTGACGTCACGGCGTCAGGCAGTATAAGGATTGATATTTCCAAGATCCGAAAATGTGCGACCATATCTAAAGAGCTAGATTTTGTGCAAGCTGATTTACATTGGAATTCTTTACCTGCATTTTAAAAGAAACAGTTGTCAGAAAAAAGAAAGATATTACTGATGCGAAATACTGCAGTGTTTACTTCCTTTAATCTTTTTGCATGGATGAGATTATTCCATATGATTTGCCGTTTCAACATGTCCGTGTATCCTTTTTTCTGCATTTCTATACTACTGGATCAGTCCATTTATATTCTATGAAAGGGGTGAATCGCTCTTTTCGCGCCAAATGTCATTAGTAAGCTATCTTCGCGCCTTTTCCTTGGATTGTTCTATTGCATGAATGGGTTAGATAGAATGTTCTATCGTTAAAATGATATTGTCCTACGGACCCGGTTTATCGATAGAATTCGTTCCGTGTATTCGTAATGTAGCAGAAAGAAACACGGGCGATAGTGCATTTACTAGGAACAATCTAGAGAGTTCCGAATGTAAACATTTGAATGGAGAGAAAAACGTTGAGAAAATTAATTGGATTTACGTATTTATATGGATTATTTTTTGGGATAAAAGGCATAAGCAATCTCAAGAAGGTTTGTTTTGATTATTTTGGTAGTTATTCCCAGTGCAAATCATTTTATATTCTTCAAAATCGTTTCGGAGCGAATCCGCTCCGATTTGCTACGTTGCAAGTATATGGGACGTATTCTAACTGTGGTGAGGGCCTGTACCGAGACACAGTTAGATTATTCTAACTAATGAATGGGTGTGCTAACTTCCATGGAATTAAATAAAGTTTGTCCTTTTAACTTCCTTCTAATGCTTCAGAAATTCTATCTACAAGTTTTATACCACTCTTTAAACAACATATCGTATACATCAGTATACATGGTGTATGGACTAAAGAAATGATGTTTCTGATTTGTTTACCGATCCCGCGGTTGGTTTATTCCATAAATGGACGAGTCCAATAATAATAAACAACGCAGTTCACGCCATTGTCTCCAGATGCATGATCTATTATATGTCTTTGTTTAGATGCACACGATAAATAAAAAAAGTAGTGAATAATCTTGGATATTTCTTTCTACAAAGCCTAACTATTGAATTTACTTATTTCATTCTCAATATATCATGTATTAATTATATGATAGTGTCATCCCCCTCCCCTTTTAAGAAAAAAAAAATGAACACACATTACTACTGTTTACTTCAGAGGAGAAAATACACTCCAACAAAATGTGTTTTTTAAAATGTTCACAATGCATGATTTGATAACAGATTTTATAATAGGTGTTACAATGTGAAATCAATTTAGATCCAAGGGCAGATCACTCCACTTGCAGACCCCCCCCCCCTTCAACTACAAAGTTCTTTAGTATGCAGTGTAGAGGTGATTCTTCTACAAATTCAGTAAAACCAAGATTTCAATTACATAACTGATAAGTTTCTCAAAATATAAAGTTTGGCTATTTTTTAACCCCACAAAGTATTGCTCGAAAGGGTTATCACTCTTCATGCAACCCCCCATGCCAATAAATTGATTGATTTAGTCAGGCAAGCTTTTTAAAAAGCTGTTACTTGTGTTATATAATATTTATAGCGTGTGAGCACTGACAGAGTGCAAAGCAGTAAGCATGGTAAGTAGACATCGATAAGGGAGTCCGAACAAATACTTCGCTAATTTAGAAGTATGTCACTTCAAAGTAATTTTTTTAAAATGATATTTTGCTGAGTTTATGTACTGATGGCTAAGTCTAAGCGGTTGAAACAAACCCTCTTGCACTTACCACTACCAATGTTTCTTTCAGGCGACGCGCCAAATGTTGTACGCAAGATCCGGCGGGGCCTAATATTTAGAACAAAAATGTATGCAACTTATATTTCCGTAAAAGTGGATAAATAGTTGGAACTCGAGATAAAAAAAAAGATTGACCCAAAATATATTTCTTTACATGGATAATGGATTATTAACACCTTATTAACACCTTCTTTTACTTTCAACTATTAATAAATATGAAATTTGCACTTTCTATATTAATTTTTCCATTGAAATGGTTTCTTTAAAATTCCTCCCATTTTCCTTCAAACAATGATAAATTCAGTATTATTCAGTATTTCATTTGAATATTTTTTGATAGGCATTATCTATTTATTTTTTTAAATATATATCTATTTTTTTTTTAAATATCAGATGTAGTCTCCAAGAAATTTTGTAAGGTAATTAAGGGCTGGGTCGGGCATGAATCATGGATAATCGATCCACCCCAGTCCTAAAAAGAATACGTACAACAGAAATAGAGTGGGGTGTCACTTCTAAAGCTTAATTCATAACTAGGACTTTTCACACAAAACTTAGCATAGGTCACTTGTTTTTTTCTTGAGGTGGGCGGGGGGTGGGGGGGGGGAGGGGGGCATTTTTAGTTGGTTTGGTATTAAATACATTTGATATATCTCTTCAAATTCCCCAGACCCCCTTTTTATCTGCACATGAATACTTAATAGTTGACAGATATCTATCATAGCCATGCATGATTCAAAAGGGAAAATTAATTATGGGGAAAATCACACTCTCTACATAAATAAATTAGGGTTCCCCTCGGAAAATTGCATGACTCTGAATGATGTTGAATTTCCATGGGAGGAATCCTAGCTACCATAGAGGCATTTTTCCATAGAGGAAGTCTTACTCCCCTTTGAGTCCTTTTTTCTGTTGGAGAAATCCTGCTCTAAAGCCAGTTAGTATTCCAAGGGGAAATATTTTAGAGGAGAAGCTAGGCACTTTATAAGTTGAATCCAGCTTCTTGGATCATCATCAGCTTCTCTCAAATTACATGTATTAAGTCCAAGGCTGCATTCAAGATCATAGCAGCTAACTAGCAGTTAGGTGTTAAATATCTTTCTCTGTTGAACACAGACAGTTAGCTTAACTACAAAGTGTCAGATAAAATATTTCTGTAAAAACTTATTTTTGGAACAATATAAGATTTCAGTTCAAGGGAAAATATTGTGTAAATTTACATTTAATTCCCTTGAATGTAGAAAATAATACCCTTTTTTTGGTTAAAACTGCATGTGTTGTGAAGTTGTAACTTCCATCTTGGATTTGGTACTTAGCATCAAATATTTACGTTAGCTCTCACTAGCAACTTGGTTAGCTCTCTGTTCAAGAGTGTAGCTTTATGTAGCAGCGAAGGAACTAGGTACCCCTGAATTAAATGTATACCTTAAAGTCATTGAGAGGTGCTTTTGAAAGTTCAAGTTTAAGAGTGAACATGTTTTATTCATGTGTATATACCACATTTAATTCACAAAGTGAGGTAGATATCTACAAAATCATATATATTTTAACACTCAAATTAACACATATAAATCTAAAACATATTACTCTTCATTTTTTTTTAAATTAAATAATTTGATTGTATTTGTAAATAAATGTACAATTGCATGTGCATGCAAAAAAAAAAAATCACCAAATGAAGTCCCCAGAAAGACATTATATCTGCTAGTCCAGTACTAAGCATAAATTTTAATTTAAAATATTTGTAAATAATGAATACAGTGATTATATATGTATTGGCCACTTAATAACTGCAGGAATTATAGTTACACTGTATATATATATCATAATTTATACATGATCATTAAAATTGTTATATTATAGTGTATATTATAATCTGATTAAAATCAGATCTTTGTTACGCTCCGAAATTCTGATGGTCACTGTTCAGTGACCATCAGAATTTTGGAGTGTAACAAAGATCTGATTTTTATCAGATTGGTGTATAATCATATATTAACAAATCAAAATAAATTATACTCAGATTAATACTTTAAAAGTTTTAACAACAAAGAATAAGCATCTTAATAAATAATATATCGAGATTTCATTTCCTCCTAAAATATACCATAAATAATACTGAATAATTCATGATTTGATATAATAATAATAAAAAAAAATTGCTAAAGACTGCATGTCAAATTGTACAGTATTTAAATTTTCATATGAAGGGAAAACAAGAGGCCCATGGGCCACATTGCGCACCTGAGCACTAAGGGTAGGAAAAAGTAGAAAATGGCTTTTTATTGTAAAGTTTAAATCCAAAAGTAGTCCCATGACCAATCATGGATTTGCTATTTTTTAGAAAATGATTTTTAAAGAATTTTCCTATATATTTCTATGTAAAACTTTGGTCGGCCATTTTGGCCCTGCCCTACCCCCGGGGGGTCATGATTTGAACAAACTTGAATCTACACTACCTGAGCTTGCTTCCATATAAATATGATGAATTATGGCTTTGTCATTCTTGAGAAGAAGATTTTTAAAGAATTTTCCTATATATTTCTATGTAAAACATGGTCGGCCATTTTGGCCCCGCCCTACCCCCCGGGGTCACGATTTGAACAAACTTTAATCTACACTACCTGAGCATGCTTCCATATAAATATGATGAATCATGGCTTTGTCATTCTTGAGAAGAAGATTTTTAAAGAATTTTCCTACATATTTCTATGTAAAACTTTGGTCGACCATTTTGGCCCCACCCTACCCCCGGGGGTTATGATTTGAATAAACTTGAATCTACACTACCTGAGCATGCTTCCATATAAATATGATGAATTATGGCTTTGTCATTCTTGAGAAGAAGATCTTTAAAGAATTTTCCTATATATTTCTATGTAAAAACTTGGTCGGCCATTTTGGCCCCGCCCTACCCCCGGGGGGTCATGATATGAACAAACTTGAATCTACACTACCTGAGCATGCTTCCATATAAATATGATGAATTATGGCTTTGTCATTCTTGAGAAAAAGATTTTCAAAGAATTTTCCTGTATATTTCTATGTAAAACTTTGATCGGCCATTTTGGCCCCGCCCTACCCCGGGGGGTCATGATTTGAACAAACTTGAATCTACACTACCTGAACATGCTTCCATTAATATATGATGAATTATGCCTTTGTCATTCTTGAGAAGAAGATTTTTAAAGAATTTTCCTATATATTTCTATGTAAAACTTCGATCGGCCATTTTGGCCCCGCCCTACCCCGGGGGGTCATGACTTCAACAAACTTGAATCTACACTACCTGAGCATGCTTCCATATAAATATGATGAATTATGGCTTTGTCATTCTTGAGAAGAAGATTTTTAAAGAATTTTCCTATATATTTCTATGTAAAACTTTGGTCGGCCATTTTGGCCCCGCCCTACCCCCCGGGGTCACGATTTGAACAAACTTTAATCTACACTACCTGAGCATGCTTCCATATAAATATGATGAATCATGGCTTTGTCATTCTTGAGAAGAAGATTTTTAAAGAATTTTCCTACATATTTCTATGTAAAACTTTGGTCGACCATTTTGGCCCCACCCTACCCCCGGGGGTTATGATTTGAATAAACTTGAATCTACACTACCTGAGCATGCTTCCATATAAATATGATGAATTATGGCTTTGTCATTCTTGAGAAGAAGATCTTTAAAGAATTTACCTATATATTTCTATGTAAAACTTGGTCGGCCATTTTGGCCCCGCCCTACCCCCGGGGGGTCATGATATGAACAAACTTGAATCTACACTACCTGAGCATGCTTCCATATAAATATGATGAATTATGGCTTTGTCATTCTTGAGAAAAAGATTTTTAAAGAATTTTCCTATATATTTCTATGTAAAACTTTGGTCGGCCATTTTGGCCCCGCCCTACCCCGGGGGGTCATGATTTGAACAAACTTGAATCTACACTACCTGAACATGCTTCCATTAATATATGATGAATTATGCCTTTGTCATTCTTGAGAAGAAGATTTTTAAAGAATTTTCCTATATATTTCTATGTAAAACTTCATTTTGCCATTTTTGGCCCCGCCCTACCCCCGGGGGGTCATGATTTGAACAAACTTGAATCTACACTACCTGAGCATGCTTCCATATAAATATGATGAATTATGGCTTTGTCATTCTTGAGAAGAAGATTTTTAAAGAATTTTCCTATATATTTCTATGTAAAACTTTGGTCGGCCATTTTGGCCCCGCCCTACCCCCGGGGGTCATGATTTGAAAAAATTTGAATCTACACTACCTGAGGATGTATCCCCATAAGTTTCATCTTTCCTGGCACAGTGGTTCTTGAGAAGAAGATTTTTAAAATATGCCACCAAATTTTCATAAATTCCCAATTATCTCCCCTTGAATGAGGGCGTGGCCCTTTATTTGAACAAACTTGAATCCCCTTCACCCAAGGATACTTTGTGGCAAGTTTGGTTGAAATTGGCCCAGGGGTTCTTGAGAAGAAGTCGAAAATGTGAAAAGTTTACAGACAGACGGACAGACGGACAGACAGACGGACGCCGGACAAAATGTGATCAGAAAAGCTCACTTGAGCTTTCAGCTCAGGTGAGCTAAAAAAGATGATTATTGTGTTCATGCAGTTTAATAAACTTCTTGCTTCAGAGGATTTTCATGCAGTGTTATAATTAAAATTTACAAAATAAAAAGATTAAAAATTGACTTTTCTCTTTCAACAAAAATTACACTATGTGAAGATCTTTGGGGGAAAAAAACATTTAAAGTCAAGAAGATAATGAGATAATATGGCATCATCTTTAGAGTTTGAATGTTTTTACAAATACCAGGGTTAATTTAAACATGTCTTTAATTGGAAACAGCAACCTCTTTTATATAGATTATGGGTTTGAATACTATATTATGAATAAATTATAAATACCCGGTATATCAATATATCGATGCATAAAAATTATTAAATCAGAAAGATATGTAGATACCTGTTACATGTAACATAAATATTAATTAATCCAAAACCTTTGATTCACTTTTCAATCAAGATAAAAATTGGCACCAAAGTTTAAAAAAAAAATATGTGCTATTGCAATTTTTCTAAAAAAAAAAAAAAAATCACTAGTGCACTATTGTGTTGCAGTAGTCATGGTTTGTGAGCATACAAATAAATATGGCAGTTTAAACAATTATAAAGTAAGGCAATCCTATTCTTTTACTCCACCAAGTAAAAGTCACTGATGCGCTTGGCAAGAATAATGCAGTTCATCTGTGGTGAAATGAGATGGCGATGAAGCATGCGGACGGTGGCTCCCGCCACTCTGACCCCAGGACTGGAGCACATACTCCGCCGGATTCTCTACCTTCCAGCGCCGCCATTGCTGAATGGTCTCCAGAGGAATCCCCACCCTCTCTCCCAGCATTCTCCAGTCAGCACCTAAAACCACAGATAAAAAAATCTTCAGACCAGCGGCACTGTGATAAAGGGAAGTAACTCCATAATGCAAAATATGCAGGTACAAGTTAATTCAAAACTAGAATGACAGACATTGGATCAAAATAAATACATGTATGTTCCAACAACTTGTGTTAACTTAATTAATCAACTGCAGAATTGTCTCCAATTTATATACCACCCTCCCAAGAAAAATGTCTTTAACCTGGAAAAAATGTCCTAATTTTGCCATAGTCATGCAAACAAGCTTACCATTTCCTTTGTACATGCTGAGGTTTTGTATGATATACTTCTTGAGGTCAGGGTTCATGTTTTATATGTGTGTCTCCAGCAAGCTTTTTCAGGGGCTGTAAAGATTAAGAGATTTATATAGAAAGGTCAATCTTGCAACAGAGTTTGAGGGGATATAGTAGAGCAATTGTGTGTGTTTGTAGGTGAGTTAGTGCTGTACTAAGCAAAAGTGACTTAATTCAAAACATTTGTACCATTATGCTAAATTTCCACTTTATATGGTAATTGAAAAGGGAATAATTTTCTCAGCTTACTGGTGACAGACTGACGGGTTGGAATTCCTTGACTAAGGACTGCCTGGGTGTGTCCAGCGGAAGGACTGTTGTTGACACTGGATGGTCAGCGTCATTTGGAGGGATTGTTGTTACATCATAACTCTCATCTTCTTCTTGTTCCAAACAGGAAAAGAGACGATTTCCTCCTGTAGAAAATATTGAGGTGGCTATGATGACAAATAATAACAATGCGGCCATTTAACTTTAAATAAAACTAGAGGTACTGTGAGCACCATATGAATATAATGGCAGTGTCCATGTTTTGCTATGGGAAACCCAAAATATGTGTTGGATCAAAAAATAAAATATGAGGTACACATGCAATGGCAATATGTAAAGTAGAATCTGTAAAAGTCTTATTGAATTTCGTTAAGTGGTATAAGAGGAGTTGCGGATATGAGATGGGTACCCCAAAGCATAACGGACGGTCTGATGAACACTCCATCAATATATACACCCCTGCTTTACAAAGGTGGTGGGGGGATAACAAACAACCGAGAACAAGTCCCTTACACTTGTATTACATATTTATTTCGTTATACCCCCCGCTTGAAAAGTGGGAGGGTATATAGTGATCGGGATGATTTAGTGAGCTCAGTGCTCACAGTACCACTAGTTTCTTACAGGAATGTGACTTGAAAATCTGGGTTGCTTGAACTCCTTATTTGTTCTCAAAAAGTTTTCCTAAAAAGTTCTCAAATAAAAATTATTTATAATGAGAGGTACTGTGAGCAATATGAGCTCACTGAATGATGTCCCCTGCCTCCCATATGGTTATTGTGATGAAGTCCATGTTTGGGAAACCCGAAATAAGTGTCAAATCAAAAAGTAAAATAGAAGGTGCACAATGGTTTTACGTAATAAATAATCATTGAAAGTATCATTCAGTTTTATTCAGTGGTATAGGAGGAGTTTCAGTTAAGAAATGGGAACCCTTCAAGAATATAGAAAGAATGGAACTCACCATGTTTTAAAATGGAAAACCGACAAATTTGCGTCCCATCAAAAAGTAAAATAGGAGGTGCATAATGGCACTTTGTAATGAAGATTCTTCGAAAGTCTCACTAAATTTCATTTAAGGAATGACTCTAATTCTTGGCCAAATTATCGAGTATAATATGGTTTGGGTCAGTTTACGCTTTATAATCTGCGAAGCGGATTATAAAAAAGCGTAAACTGACCCAAACCATATTATACTCGATAATTTGGCCAAGAGTGACAACTATTCCTTATAATTTAATTTTAAAATCATTATTCAACTGGGGATGTAAAATTGTGTTGTTTTTATGAGTTCATATTTACCGCGCAATAATACAACCGTAGTAACGGAAGTGATGGGAAGCGAGGGGAGGTAAAAACTGATACATAGATCTAGCAGCCATGATGCTTGTTTACATGAGGTAAGATCGAGTAATTGTTTGAAATTAAAGGTACATTCATTAAATCTGAAATTTTCCATGAATCCCAAGGACTGGAAATGAGGGATTGATGGATACAGATGATTATGCTGGTTGTCAAGGGGGTGTGTCCCCTATACGCGCACGGTTCATTGTTATTTACATTTATATAAAACATTCACGATAATATAATAAATATTGCATGTAGTTGAGTGTAGCATTGAAAATTTTCACCCCTCGAAAACCATTGTCAACCTCGGCTGCCCCTCGATTGACAATGGTTTTCTTGGGTTGAAAATTTTCAATGTTACACTCAACTACATGCAATATTCAAATTATGTCAAATGATACATTTTCTATACACCAAATTCTCTCAAAAATTAAAAAAGGAAGAATTGATTAAATTTCAATTGCACCACCTCATACATTTTATATTTCACAGCGTCACTTATATACTTTTCAAAAATACAATGCAGTATTGCAAAAAATAAATTATTCAAAATTTCAGATTTCAAATATGAAAATAAATCATCCAGGTCTTTTTCTGAAAGGCACTAGTTTTCAGATGTTTAAAAAAAAACTGCACACTTTCACTCAGGACTCATTAATATAGCATTGGATGTATCAGTTATCATTCTTTACTTAATAAAATTAATAAATCTGCATCTTACAATTGGAAATTGTCTACAAGTCTTAAATTAATCTGAATTGTGTTGTGAATTGTGAGTTGTGAATTAAGTATACTTGTAAAGTATTTCTCATTACTGAATATTTTGCAATCTTGTGCACTTATGTATATATTGGGAATATTAAAAATGAATGCAAAAGTATATTTACCCTATCATAAACTGTAAATTTAAAATTATTGTGCAACAAATCATACAAATAGAAAATGTTCTTCAACATTATAACATATTCAAAATTGCATGGAATTAAATGATTGAATTCAGTAATAGCCATTTGTGTAAACCTTCCATTTCCTCTGCTCTTTTATGCATTATAACAGAAGTTAGGCAGAAGTCAGGTAATGCACAGTCATATAGCACAAAAGACTAGTGCACAGTCCACAATTATTACTGTTTAAACATTCTTTTTGATTTAATACTGATTCAAAACCGAGGGTATCGTGTAATTTTTAAATTGAGATTTTTTTCTGTAAGGTATGGACAGATTCAACATCAATTTGTTAATTTTTTCTGGTACAGATTTTAAATATTCTTTTGGCAAGTGAATATTTATTTATGATTTTCATACGTTTTAACATAAATTTGATGTGCTTTGGTGCATAGCTAAATAAAATATGATATCACACTTCTTAATGATCAATTTTGGCTGTTGAATTTTGAGAATTATGTACTCTGAGACATGTTGTTAGAAAATTAAACTGCAGAGATATGTCTTTTATGGATGTTTTGGTTTTCGAATTAAAAAAATTAACAGTGTTGACAAAAAAATTCTGAAAGTACGGACCTACCTCAATGTCATCATAATTTTTGCTGAAAAGACCACTATTTGAATTTCTTATACATTTAGTTGATGCATTCAACTCCATTTCCTTTGATATTTTTCTTGAGATTCCTGATTTAAATTCTGCATCATGAAATAAATAATCAATAAAAAAAAACCTTTTGTTTTGCAGTTAAAAATAACAAAAATATACTCCAATTTTTGATTAAGGAAAATACTATCTTAACCCACGCTGTCCTAAAGAGAAGATTGTTTTGATTTTTTTCTGCTTCAGTAGTGGTGTCCAAGTTTTTGAAAGTTGAAGGCTGCTCCATTTTAAGGCAAGGCTGTGGTTCCAGACTAGAAATGAAACAGGGAATTAATTAGAATTTTCTTTCGTTCTACAACTACATAACAAGCATAACACATGGTGTATAAATATAAAAATGCAAAAATCATCATTAGATATATTCAATGGATATAAATTACCCCTTAGAGTGCAGAATCAATATACATGTATTACATATACTTTCCTCCTTTTACTTCTGAATAAAAATGTGTTTAAATACTGCAAAATGTATTGTTTTTACTCACAGTTCATACAATCAATCTTGCACACAATGATGATGGTGAGATGCTCTAAATTTTCATGAGAAGTTGATGTTGTCAGAAACTTTTAACTCAAGTGGACAAAATGCAGCTTTTTTGATGCCATAAGAAGGTCATTGAAATACAAGATCTATCAA